GCTTTTCCCTCTACTTATGTTTCTGCCTCTGTGTGTGTGTGTCTCTCATGAATAAATAAGTAAAATCTTTAAAATATATATATCATAACTCAGTTACTCCCAAGCTCTGTGCTCTGTGGTCTAGCCTAATGCCTTCTCCACAGCCGAAACTTATCATGAGATGAGACACAATGTAGTATCCCGAACCACGCAACTTGGGAGTTATTTCTCCCAGCAGTGATGATGGATTAGCACCATCTATTGCCACCACTGGGTGGTGTAGACCCCACCACCACCAATAGCTCACATTTATAAATGGCTTCCGGGGTGCGCAGCTGTAGGACGTGACTGTGGGACATTGTAAAGTTCACTGGTCCAGACACAGTACTGAATCCATGCCCTTGGGCCCTATCCAATCAGCTGAGCTAACTGGTCACAGGAAAATCTACCAGGAAATAGGGCAGAAAGAAAAAGAAAGGTGTCTAAAGGCAATCAAATCCAGCATTACATCCAAAAGGTTACCCTGACAATGGAGTAGAGAACCCATTTCAGGGTCAGAAACACAGGCCAGGTAAAAGGACTAGAACAGAAAATACAGGGTGAAATTATCTGTCCTAATTAGACTGGTGGGTAGCTCGGCCACTATTAGGGGAACATTACCCACTGACATGGCTTTCACTTCTTATATTTGGAGAGGGGAGCCCACAAGGCCCTTCAATTGCCTTGATTTAGTTGCCAGCAAGCAGCTGCCTTATCCCCGCCCCCCCCACCCCCAGTTACTCCCTTTCCCCAGAGCTCCTTCCCCTCTGCTGAATTACTAACACACCTTTAAAGTTCACAGTTTAGGGGCCAGCGTGAAGGCGGTGGTGGTGCATGGCTTTCACACCAGCCAGCTTTCATACCTTGAGATCAAATGGAAGCTTTCGATGCCTGTCTCAGGGCCACGGTAGGTTAACTGGGGTTGTAGCCAAAGGAGAAAGTAGGATGCCCTCTGAAGTATTTGTCAGAAGAGAAATTTCCAAATCGTCCTCAATTTGCACTAGTAACATAAGAAAAATACCTCTAATGGCACTGAGTAGGCAGTGACACAGAATTAATGTTAGTACTCAATTATTTTCGCCCATTTTTCTTTGATGGTTATTCACACAGAACTATCAGAGGCCTATTACAGTCTTCAGAAACTTCTATCTCTATGGAAACCATAAGGCTGACCTAGAAGGCTGTGATTTCACCCTAAGAACACCAACCCTGAGCCCTCACAGAGAGTGGGTGTCAGAAGCCCATTCCCTCTGATGTATATCTCAAATATGATACAGTCAGGACCCTCCTAAAAGGAAAAGCCACAACCCAAGGACACCAGGCTAGAGAGCAGGACCAGGAACTTACCTACCACCACCCCAGGGAGACTTTCCACTCCCTGCCCAGGGTATCTCATGGTCCCCATTTCACTCACAGCAGCACAGTGCATGGGGGTGTTGGAGGCAGAGAAAAAAGATTTTAGAAACCTCATAATAGGGACGCCTGGGTGGCTCAGTAGTTGAGCGTTTACCTTCGGCTCAGGTCACGATCCCAGGTCTGGGGATCAAGTCCTGCGTTGGGCTCCCTACAGGGAGCCTGCTTCTCCCTCTGCCTGTGTCTCTGCCTCTCTCTGTGTCTTTCATGAATAAATAAATAAAACATAAAAAAAAGAAACCTTATAATAAAGATCTATTATCTAATTTAAATTTTACCTCTATTCCAGACCATTAGGGAAGAGCCACAGAAGTGAGAGACATAAAGAAAGAAACACACATGGAGTTCAGACCCAGGCCATTCTTTTGAAAATTCTCCTTGTTCTGCATAATGGATCTATTGATGTGGCCAATCAACAGGAACAGTTCCATATACAGTAAATTCTGATATGCAGCTTTCTATGTGCTGGCATGAAACCAGAGTTTGACTCTGATGACCCTAGGCACTAAGAGATAATGTATGAAATTGGTTGATACATATAAAGTACATTGAAGCAGTGTCTGGAAAATAAAAGGTTTTAATACATGTTAGCTGGTATTATTATAATCACAATAGATTGTACTTCCAAGAGGATAGCTCATATGGGATCCAATATAATATTAGCTATAGAAATGGTTTTGGCCTGGAGCACCTGGGTGGGTTAATCAGTTAAGCATGTAAATCTTGACTTCAGCTCAGGTCACAATCTCAGGGTCGAGGGATCAAGCCCTGCATCGGGCTCCCCACTCGGTGCAGAATCTGCTGGAGATTCTCTCTCACCCTCTGCCCCTCCCCCTGCTCTCATGTTCTCTCTCTCTTCTCAAAAACAAATAAATAAATCTTAGAAAGAAAGAAAGAAAGAAAGAAAGAAAGAAAGAAAGAAAGAAAGAAAAAAAGAAAAGAAAAGAAAAGAAAAGAAAAGAAAAGAAAAGAAAAGAAAAGAAAAGAAAAGAAAAGAAAAGAAAAGAAATGGTTTCAGTCTTACTCTTAGAAAGTAATAAGCCATATGTTTCATCTACCTATCTCATGGTCCCTTGGTGGACAACTGAGTTTTTGGCATCAAGGTGACCTCTTCAAATTCCCTCTCCTAAAAAAGACTACAACCCATCCACCCCACCCCACCCCCAGGAACTTCTCACCAGGCCTGCTGAATCACGAGGCTGCAGTGAGTAACTTTATCTCTTAGTGTTAGGAAGGAAGCCATGCGAGCAGTGGGAGAGGACATCTGTAAGTTACGGTGAGCGGCCACTATTTATTTATGCAATATCTGCTCTGTGCCAAGGAGAGGGATTAATCATTAATCATCAAAGCTATTTCATTCTCTGTGTTCTACAGAGACCAGGCAAGAAGAGAAACAAAGAAGCTTCCTAAATGCCCTTGGAAAAGCCAAAATATTTTTCTCTTTTATAAAAATAAAAACTTCATCCTACAGAAGATTCCGACTCCGCGGTTGTGACGCTCAGCTACACACTTTTACAGACTCATGCTGCTTAACACAAAATTTAAGGGGAAAAAAAGAGTTCATTATCAAAAAGGAACTTACCAGTATTCAAGGGTACTAAAGCAGTATTTACCTGGCATTTCTTTTTCCATTCTAAGACATGTGTTCACAAGGGTGTAAGGAAACCCAACCACCTGATTACACAGGCAACAGGCCATCCACTCTAGAGGGATTGCAGTCCCCTCAGTAATGCACTGCCCACTACAGGAGCTCAGAGTCCATAATTCCAGTGGCTCAAGATCGTCCCAACATAAAATATTCTTTACTATTGCCCAACAAAAATGGACAAGAAGTGCCAGTCCTATCTAAATTTAACCTCCCGGGCACTGGGGTGGCTCAGTGATTGAGCATCTGCCTTTGGCTCAGGGCATAATCCTGAAATCCTGGGATTGACTCCCTCATCAGGCTCCTCACAGGGAGCCCACTTTTCCCTCTGCCTGTGTCTCTGCTTCTCTCTGTGTCTCTCATGAATAAATAAAATCCTTAAAAAAGTTAAATTAAAAAAAATAATAATAAACTTAATCTCCCCAAATCTTATAGCAAATACCATGTCTGATTCTTTTATTTGGAAAATATAACAGGTCACCTTTTCAACATAGTGTTCTCTTGAGTAATAAAGAATTACCAGAGAGTTCACACGCGCAAGTAACGATTGTTCCATATACAAACACGGGCTTTTTCCTTCTCGTCGAAGCGCAAGGGCCCGGGTAGTAGGGGAAGCAGAAGAGGTTGGGAACACTAATAAAGAAAGTACTCATGACAACACACAATAACCCAGCAAAACAAGAACTGTTCATTACCATGGCTCGTATTCCCATTCCCATTACACCCGCCTGGCTCTACCAATCCCGCAACACGAATGCTTCCCCTACAAACTCTTCACACAAAACTGCCAATTCCACGGCTTTGAGTATGACCATCAAGAAAATGCTAAGGTTATCTCATCATTTTATATGAATATATTATCAAATTCCAGAAAATAATAAGAAAGACCAAAATATTTCCCTACTGTGAATTACGCATCTAATTGTGTAGTCCCATGAGTGAAAAAGCCCAGAAACTCAGAATCCAGTGCTTTGTGGTTTATTTTGGAATCTTACATTCCTGAAACTTTAATACCATGTTGAAGGAAGATGCCTTTCTTACTCACTCCCTTTATAAGCCTACTTTTTAAATGATCTCAATATAAGAGTACTGATTAATACTAATTTAAGTACTTTCATCTGGTTGATGTTTTTTTAAACTTTAACTGAAGTCCAAGAAACAGAAGAAATACGAAGGAAAGCTCAGTAAGAATAAATCTCGAACATCTTGGGATGCCCGGGTGGCTCAGCAGTTGGGTATCTGCCTTCGGATCAGGGCATGATCCCGAGATCCGGGATCAAGTCCCACATTGGGCTTCCTGCAGGGAGTCTGCTTCTCCCTCTGCCGGTGTCTCTGTCTCTTTCTGTCTTTCATGAATAAATAAATAAATAAATCTTTAAAAAAAAAAAAAAAAAAAAACCCTGAACATGTAAATGGGATTACAGAGCGCTTACAAAATGGATTGGGTAGGAACATCAAAATGGGTTTGCGAATGTTCGAAATTTCCAATTTGTTTCAATTTAACACAGTTCACCTGTTGTTCAAATGTGCTAACCCCCTCAAAACACCTTCGACTAAGTGTTAGACGCCGGCTACGACCACATACAAATAAAAGGATAAACTGCGTAATATCGCCACTGGCTGAAGATATTTTTTCATGAAGTTTTTTCCAAGGATCATCTGAAAAGCCCACTAGCAAAGGAAGAGAGTCATGATTCACAAAATCCCCTTGTTTTGAGGTACAAACCTGTGATCAAGAAACATTTCTCAATTTTTCTTCCTACATTTTACCTCTTCCAGGATAAGGGAACTCCCATCTTTTTGCTAATGGGTTTATTGGGAGTAATCCTTCGTTCCCTCTACCCCTTCTCCCCCAGCACCAGTCAGGACAATCAACATAACTAGACTCCTCTGAGTAGGTACACAATATCCGCCCCCAACTTACCCGTCCAGAAGGTTCATTGTAGTGGGCGTCACCTCGGCAAACAGAATAACTTTCCCAAGTCGCTTTGTCTGCAGATTTTGTCGGTAGATCTCTAGGTTAAAATTTTCCGAAGAGAAGGCGCCCACGTCCGTGACCACAGGTAGAGCAGATGGGGTGATTTCTATTTCAGACATGTAGGATGAAAGAAACTTAAGGGAGAGCTTGCTGGATTTTATTACTCCTTCAGGATCCACATGTTCCCCCAGCCACTGCATAAGAGGGTCCAAGATTTCCTGCATTATAAAGAAATGAAGAGGTCGTAATTTGGCATTACATTAGGTGACGGTAGCCTTTCCCTAAAATACCACTTGGTAATGTAAGTACTTCCTAATTCATGACCAGTGAGAGCTAAGTAACATATTCCAAACATCTACGCTATCATACAATAGACAGGAAGTATTTGGAGTATGTCTACACTATGCAGGTCCACTTACACATGGGCTTTTTTCGGTAAACACTGTTCAGTGCTGTAAATTTACGTTCTCTTCCTTATGCTTTTCTCAATAACCTTTTCTTTTCTCTAGCTTACCTTATTGTAAGGATACTGTATATAATACACACAGCATGCAAAATATGGGTTAATCGACCGTTTATGCCATTGGTAAGGTTTCCAGTTAATAGTACGCTATTACCAGTTAAGTTTTGGGGAAGGCAAAATTATATGCTGTGGATTTTCAACCTACACTGGTAGGGATGGGGGGGGGATTCTCCTAATCATCACATTGTTCAAGGGTCAACTGCAAACCATTCAGAAGCCAGGATCCAAAGAAAAAAATATAGCTCCTTATTAAATTTTCTATCCAGCATTATGTCCTATATCCTTAAAGTCTTCTCCAGCTCTAGAGCTCCTTAGTAATTCTCTAGTCTGTGCATTTTGCAGAAAATGTACAGCTTTATACTTTTGCCTCTCAAGGAAATTCCTCCTCCTCGGCTGGGGAAATACTGTAAAATGCCAGTGAAAGCAGTCACAGAAGGGCCACCTGGATGGCTCAGTGGTTGAGCATCTGCCTTTGGCTCAGGGCGTGATCCCAGGGTCCTGGGGTCAAGCCCCACATCGGGCTCCCTGCGAGGAGCCTTCTTCTCACTCTGCCTGTGTCTCTGCCTCTCTCTGTGTGTCTCTCATGAATAAATGAACAAAATCTTTTAGAAAGAAAGCCAGCCAGGGAAGACAAAGTATTAAGACAATAGCTATCACTCTCCACCACTGGAGGACCTCCACCCTGTTCTGCTAGACAAGCTGGACACCACCAGCCACTGACAGGTCACCAGTAGTGGGGGGGACATGACTTTTACATCAGAAAATAATGGGGAACCCAACAGCTGCTTTGTCTGAATATGGGTCTGGGGGGAGGGGGTTGAGAGGGAGATAGAATCTTCCAGAAACCTTGCCTAACCCAGAACAGAGTTCTAATCCTTAAAACAAGAAGAGGTCTTGGAGGCTCCCGGAAGGCTGCAACATCCTCTCAAGCCCTGGAGGACTTCCCTTCTGGGTGGGGTACAAGGTGGGGCACCAGGGAAACATGGGATCAGAGAGGAGTTATTACCCCAAGAGGCCAATACCAAATGTATTAAAATCAAACAGTTGGGATGCCTGGGAGGCTCAGTTGGTTAAGGTACCGACTCTTGGTTTCAGCTCAGGTAATGACCTCAGAGTCATGAGATCGAGCCCTGTGTCAAGCTCTACACACTCAGCACGGAGTCGGCTTCTCCCTCTCCTTCCCCCTTTGCCCCTCCCCCACTCACACACACTGTTTCTCTCTCTTTTAAATAAATATTTTTAAAAATTAAAAAAAGGTGTTAAAAAGGTAAAATAAAACACACACAAGAAAATGATAAAATAAACATTAACTATGATAAAAACATCAGATTCAAGTAAAATGTTCTGTGCATTCATTCGACAAGCATTATGATATTATAGGGTCCCTACCATATGATAAACATTCTAAGTTCTGAGATTCGATTTGAACAAAGGGGCCAAAGTTCTCATCCTCAATAGGCTTACACTCTAGCATGGGAGTCAGATAATTTTGAAAAATTCAGCGGCACAAGACATCAAATGTTAGTAAGTCCTAAGTGCCAAGGAGAGATGATAAGCAGAGAGGAGAGATAAGAAATGTTGGAGGTAAGGGGATCCCTGGGTGGCTCGGCGGTTTGGCGCCTGCCTTTGGCCCAGGGCGCGGTCCTGGAGTCCTGGGATCGAGTCCCGCGTCGGGCTCCCGGCATGGAGCCTGCTTCTCCCTCCTCTTGTGTCTCTGCCTCTCTCTCTCTCTCTCTCTCATGAATAAATAAATTAAAAAAAAAAGAAAGAAAGAAATGTTGGAAGTAAGCCATTGTGCAGAAGGCAGATGAACCCAGGACGGAGAGATGGAGAGAAAGAAGGTAGGATCACATAACATATGGAGTCACATCACTCTTCTTTATTTATACAGACAATTCCAAGGAGGAGCAGAGGCTCCAAGTGAGCACGATGGCGGCAGGGAAGTGCCAGGAGGACAAGTGGATGGAGTTGGGGGTAGAGGCACCCACACCAGACAGAGCCATCAGGTCTACCGTGGGGACTCGGGCTTTCACCCTGGAGGCTTCAAGAAAGGGGGTGTGGTGACTTCCTGGTCACAGTCGCAGCAGGATCACTCACTTAGCCAACTGTACCAAGAACAGATTAAGGGGGAAGCAAACAAGTGGGAACAGACACCACCAGTCAGCAACCCTCTGATGTTCCCAGGACGGAGATGATAATGCCGGCACAGGTGCACCAGTGGCCATACGAGTCTGCGGTAGAGGCTGCAAGATTCGCTGACAGATCACATCTGGGACGTCAGAGGAAATGAGGAGTCAAAAATGAGCCCAAGCAACTGATTCAGCCAACTTTATTTATAAAACAAGGAAATAAAAGCTCACTTCTCTTTAAAAAAAAAAAAAAAAAAGAGCCCAAGATTTCTGGCCTAAGCACCTAGAAGGATGGAGCTGCCACCAGAAATACTGAGGGAAGGAACAGGTTTGGATGGGAAGAGTCAGTTCTGGGCACATCACATTTGAAATATTGGTTAGAAATGCATGGGGAAGGGACACCTGGGTGGCTCAGCAGTTGAGCATCTATCTTTGGCTCAGGGCATGATCCCGGGGTTCCAGGTTCTGGGATTGAGTCCTGCATCAGGCTCCCTGTGAGGAGCCTGCTTCTCCCTCTGCCTGTGTTCCTGCCTCTCTCTCTCTCTGTCTTTCAATGAATAAATAAATAAAATCTTTAAAAAAAATGCATGGGGGAAATGCTAAGTGAAATAAGTCATTCAAAGAAAGACAATATCATACAGTTTCACTTACATGCGAAATATAAAAAATAGCGCGGAAGATCATATGGGAAGGAGGAGAACTGAGTGGGGAAAAAATCAGAGAAGACAAGCCATGAGAGACTCTTAACTCTAGGAAACTAACCGAGGGTTTGCTGGAGGGGAGGGGAGTGGGGGATGGCGTAACTGGGTGATGGGCACTAAGAAGGGCACCTGATGTGATGAGCACTGGATGTTATACTATATGTTGGCAAAATGAATTTAAATCAAATAAATAAATAAAATTTAAAAATAAAGGAAGTAAAGAAATGCATGGAAGCAGAGAATAATAAGCAGGACGTGTCAGTCAGGGACTTAGGGGAGAGGTGCACACCAAGGACATAAATTTGGGATATTTCCAGACTACACCTGATAATTTGAAGCCAGGAGACAGGCTGAGAGCAATGAGAGAGTATCCATAAAAAGAGGGGTTCCACTGGTTTCCTGGGGCTGCCATTACAAAGCACCATAAACTAGAGGGCGTAGCAGAAATGCATTCTCTCACAGTTCTGGAGGCTGGAAGTCCAAAATCAAGGTGTCGGCAGGGCCACACTCCCTCTGACAGCTCTAGGAGAAAATCTGTTCTAGGCTTCTCTCCCAGCTTCTGGTGTTGCTGGCAATCTCCAGCTCCCTTCCCTCTGTCTGTGTCTCTTGTCCTCTTCTTAAAAGGACACTAGCCATATCGGATTAGGGCCAGCCCTCGTGACCTCATCTTAACTGGATTACGTCTGCAAAGACCTTATTTCCAAATAAGGTCACATTCATAGGTTCTGGAGATCAGGACTTCAATGTACCTTTTAGGGGAACAAAATTCAACCCACACCAGGTATCAATGCTTAGATGTCAGAGAGATGAGGAGGAGTCTGCACAGGACACTGAGAAGGCAAAGGAAAATCAAGTGTGTGTGTGTGTGTGTGTGTGTCTGTGTGTGTGTGTGTGTGTGTGTGTGTGTGTGTGTGTGTGTAGAGTGCAGAAGTGCCCTGGAAGTTCTGGGCCCAGTTTCACAGGCAGCAAGACAAGAAGATGATGGTAGGGCAGTAAGAAGAGGGCTGAGCAGTAACCACCAGGCTACAAGGCAGGGCCTATCTGGTGCAGGCAAGTCTGATATTAACAGGGGAAGGAAAGAAACCACAGACTCTAGGAACAAAATTTGGGAAGGAGTTTCCTCTAGGGGAAAAAAAAAAGACTGGGGCAGTGGCTACAGGGAGAAAGGGAGTCCAAACAGGTATGGTTTGGTTAAATAAGAGTAATAACAGCATGTGTCTTAATGATGATGTGAACTGTCCAATCCAGAAACGTAACAGGTGAACAGGTGAGGGCTGCATCCTAATGCTCAAGCACAGAGGTCAGCTTCAGGAGCAGAGCCTTCATCCACTGGATGGACGGGGTTCACATCCCCACTGGAGACAGCCAGCCTGTTTCCCCACTGATTCGCAGCCCTCCCTCACTCCGGCTGGCCGGACAGCCATCCAGGACAGCCCTGCGAACTCATCTACCACTACTCTGCTTTCAGGCCTCAAGGAGGGAGGGAGGAGTCCTGTGCCAAAGGCTGTTGACATCATCTTCGGATTCCTTCTGTTTTTCCTCAGTAAATAAAGCGCAAGATCAACAGCTAAGAGTGAAAAGAAAGAGGTTTGAGAGGGCAGAGTGATAAAAGGAAGGAAGTGGGGGAAACTGAATGAACAAGTAGAAGTATTCAGGGTCCACTCCAGGTTAGTGTTTCTGACTTCAGAGTAAGCAGGGCGCACAATTCTGTGATTTTATCCAGCCACACTCCGCAACAGAGCTTCACAGAATAGATGCAGAGGAAGCTGAGGGGGGTATATAAAGCAGCAAAGTAACCTGACCTACTGTAAATGAAGCCGGGATGGAGATAGGAAGATAAATAACAGGATAATCCTGGCCTAGGA